AACCACCTGCCATGCCACTTTATATTAGAGCATCGTAAAAATAAAGTAACACGTTCTTGTATTATGATCAATAAACTATATCTAACCCATCCATTTAAAACTCATAAACCTGAGTCTGGAGAAAGCTGGAAAAATAAAAAGCGTTTGCAAATTTTGTTCTCATGTGAAGGCACCCATTTCGAATACATTTTATGAATTCACCTTTTTTAGCTTATATTGAAATATATTAGTTTAATATAATCATATATGTATTATCAACTACCCGCTGCTTTACCCATTACGTGTAAAGCGCGGCACTATATCTTTGAATATATTTGACAAATTGATTTTTTTTTTGAAATACAAAAAATCTAAAAACTATAGATTCGGGCTCTGTATCGATAATAATGTTTATTTCAATAAGATTTTCCAAAAAATATTTAATGTACAGATTCGGCTTAGTTAGAATTTTATTATATGTATAGATTATACAATTATTTTCTTTAGGTTTCATGTTTAGCTCTATGACTCGTTCTATATTATTCTTTTGTCTGGGAATGAACTATACCCAGCTTATTCATACCTTGGATTAATACACAGAGTACTTTTTACTAAGTTATTTTTAAGTGAAACTCCATATAAGTACTTTTAAATATACAAAAGAATTGTACACATAACAGGTTGTTTGTAGGTAAATTGAATAATATGTCAAGCCAAAGGGCGGTTGATAATAGAGCCTGTTTCAATCGGACACGTAAATTGCCTCCATCTCTATCCATTTCACATATCAATGTCTGATTTATAGATGTCTGGCGTATGTTAGTGTGCCTTTTTAACCTCCTATATGAAGAGGGATGCTGTAAGTTTGATTTGTACATTGACCTATCTGTGTTATACGTCAAAAACTTGTTATCTTCGATATACTATATTTATTGAAAACATCTAGCCTTATTGCCATGTTTTTGCAATAAATAATATTTTTGCTTAATATATTTTTCATATGCTTTTTTACACAAACATCAGATATTATATAAAAATACACACACATTTTCTTAGAATGAGACATTTTGACAAGGGTTTTCTTTATAAGTCTGGTTTGCCATCATCAGTTTTTCTACATTTTTTTAGTATAAAGCGAGTAATAAACGAATTTTCCTTAGTGCAATCCGGTTCGAGAGCACTCTTATACATATATAAAATAATATAATAATAATAATAACTATTATTTCCTATTTTAACACAAAATTCTACTTTGGAGTTCATTGTTATATTGGTAAAGTAACTCGTGTTCCCTAAGATATACTTGCACAGTTAACTTGTATCACAATATACAAGTATATACAGAGTGGCAAGTTGGACGGTTGTTAGGCGGTGGAAACTAACTGAAGTACTATACAATAACTTGCTTTTATCACAAGCATTGATTGTAACACTATTTTGATGCAAACATAGTATTATATAGGTACTTGTAATAAAAATATTTTTTGCTCAGGGCTTTCGAATTGCAAGTTGGACGGGAATTAAGAACTAGCCTATGCTGCCACATGATCTATACATTTGCCAAATTCCATCCAAATCTGGTCAGCAGTTTAAAAAGTTTAAATATGTAACAGACATATAGAGCTACTTTCATAATAAAGTGTTATATAAAATATTTTTAGATTTTTTTTGTAGGATATGTCTACTCGTATGCTTCGGATGTAATAGATGCCAAATGAACAGTTTTTAATTATTAGCTTGGCTTAAATAGCTGGAAGAATATGAATAAAATTTAGAACACAGATATACTACGCCCTGGAGCACATACTGTTAGATACTTAGGATTGGGGCCAAACAAAGTGATCATAAGTGGCTAGTGCAGTGTTTCTTAAACTAATTGCAGTCATGGAACACTTTTAGAATTTCTAAAATTCCACGGAATCCATGTCAAATAATATTGTATAATAGTATCACATTGTAAATTTTTTAGTGTATTTTTTAATCGCCTAAGAAGTAGAAGCGCGAGGTGCGTGTGAACTGCACCTAACCTATAGGTGCAGTACCTCCGCGCCTCATGCTGCTCAACAATAACCAGCAAGAGTAATGGATGAAACAGATTTTCTTATTTATGTTAACTAATTAAAAGCTGCTGCGAACCGCTGTCACATATATTATGGACCCCCCGAAGGTTCGTGGACCCCACTTTAAGAAACCCCGGGATAAAATCTTGTTACTACGAGTTCAATAAATTCAATAACACTTATAAATACGATTGTGAGTGAGTTGATATAACAGTTACTAATTCATGTTTCGTTAACGGCTTCAGATTTGAATGCAATTTAGAATATGTTAGTTTATAATATCTTTTATTAACATATAGATTTTACTTTTATTGGTGTACTTACATATAAGTGAAGCTGTGGACAACACTAGGGTTATTTACACCATAATACACCCATTATATTAAGGTTCAGGATACGTGTAAAAATTATTAAGCTTCGTTAACAAACACAAAAAACGGCAAATTAAAACAAAATAAAACAACAAAATAACGTTTAAAGCATTATCTTTTATTAAGGTATCTTAATAATTATCACATAAAGATAAAATGGAATTGGAGTAGTAACAATTTTCATTACAAAGGAATAAAAACGGTTATAAACGTTTCGTTTGAATAACGTTTCCTATATAACTCAAAGTCTGTCCTGAAGCTTTCTATATTTGCTAAGCTTTTGTTCCTTATTGCCATTGATTTATGACATTTACATAAAAGCACATGTCAGAAATATCCAATATCTGGTACTAAAATGATTAAAATTACTTCGGGATCGTTCATCTTATTAAATAAACATGTTGGGACATTAACACAGCACCACCTAGTTAAGGTAGTAAGCTACGAGGCTTTTGTTATGGATACCAGATAGTTGATACAAAACATAACCATGACTGGAATCTGGAATACAAATATTCGTGTTCATCATAGAAATAAATGCGGAACTAGAATCCCCGACCACTGGCACAGCAATTAAGGTCACTATAATCTGAGCCAAATGTGTCTTTAAATTGTAAATATTTACCCTTAATTCAGATGAGATTAGTGAAAAATAAATAATAATTCGGCAGTATAAGAATACGTATTTGTTATAAATATAGAGCTTCACGTTATATCTCTTGCGGGGTTTGTAGAGAGGAAAGAGACCCATGCGCTACCATCTCTACATATTTACCTCTTTCACTTCTTCCATTGCTATCCTTCTCTTCATACACATTTGGGGAGTCTTCAGACTTTTGACTTTTGGTATTAAAATTATTTAAATATTCGTATATATGTAATATAAATAAATAATATATGTATACTATACATATTACGTATGTGTTAGAGGAGTTCAAATTTATCTATCTCTTGTGGTCAAAGACATTAAGCGTTCACACATCAAGATCGATTGATAGTAGAACCCTGACCCTGTCCCTGATTCATATCTAAAATATGACGAACAGACCCTCATATACACTTTTGTTGTATATAAATAAATAATACATAGTAACAATTCACAGTATTCAGTTTAGTTTTAAATTATATTAATCAGTACAGCATGCATTGTGAATTAAGTTAACTATAATTATTTTATTTATTATAGTTAGAATAATTCAGCATAAAACAAAATGAACAGCTAATTTACATATTACTTTTTAATTACATATTTCCAAGTGTTTTTCGTAAACAAAAAAGCATTATGAATGGAGCTTATTACATTTTTTTGTATAAATTCTATCAGAGATTTCGGATGTTCACTGATTTCATATGGCTGCGAGCACAAAATGAAATAGAAATAATAATTTTACTTATATAACTAAAATCTACGTTCTCTACGTCTGTATGTATGTATGTATGTATATACGAATTTTACTTGGAAATGGCTGATTCAAATGTGAAGGAACTATTATAGGCAGGCAAGAATTGCGACTCGTCCGAATAAATAAAACTGTATATTTTTACTTTTATACAGCTTTTTATGGCGGTGGTTTTGAATCTTAGGCATACATTTATATAGCTAATACAAATATTTACCTCATATGGGTATCAAATCGGCGACAGCTAGTGCTTTAAAAGCTTATTAAGTAAACTATAATACTCTTTATAATAATTGAAGTAAAGTACATTTTACTTTGTAGACTGTTTAACAGCAATTTTAATTAATCTACATATAAAATAATTACTACTAAGCAATTACTAAAGTAAATAATTAAATATTGATAAATTTTATATTTTTTATATTATTTTAAAATGTAAGCACTGAATATAATCAAAACTCTTAAGTACACAGTGATATAAAATTACCTTTGAAAAATGTGCCTTTTTCACTTGTAATATAATATTTTGTAGGAATATTGTGACTTAATTTACTATAGGCAATATGTGTCATTTGAATCACAATATTTAGTCATTGAATAATGGTAGTTTGAAATCTTAAAAAATATTGTTATTTAAAACTTTCAAATCTTGGAAACTTGACTTACAATATTCTTACATAGTTTTTGTTCCTATCATCATTATAAAAATACTAGCAGAACCCGCGGCTTTGCTCGCGCTATAATTACAAAAAAAATCTAAAAAGATAGTTTCATACAAACTTTCATCCTTTATTTTACCCTCTTATGGGATGAATCTAGAAAAATGCTAAAACACATATTTATTTAATCGTATTGAAGAGCATTAATAATAAGTTTCGAATAATTCTGATCATATTTTTTTGGGTTGTATTATAACGTGTTTTCCCGTGGGAATGAGATGATCTCTCGCGATAAAAAGTAGCTCTCCAACTATCGTTACACCAAAAATCACGTGAATCCGTCACTCCGTTCCGACATGAAAGAAAGACAAACAAACACACAAACAAACAAATACACTTTCACATTTATATTATTAGTATAGAAGTATAGATATGGATTACAGGTTTAGGAAGATTGAATTTGACATTTTACCTATGAAATTAAATAACTTAAAAAATTTCACATTCAATTAAAATATACTAAAATTACTATTCTGGAAAAACTTTAAGTAGAATTGGAACTAAGGCACCTAATGAATCGGCGTACACGTCTGGCTTCAGCTCGTGATTCAACATTTCCTCTTTTGTTTTGTTGGTTAAAACTAGAAGCGTTTTGAAGCCCATTGCCTTACCTAAGCCGACATCTTGATCTAACCTGTAAAAAGATAAAAACATTTATTTAGTTAAAAGGTATGCTTATAAAATCAAAGATAGAAATAGTTTTTCATTTATAAAAACTTAAAAAAAATGACTTACACACACTAAAAAGTAAAATAAAACATACATACAAACGAATATAGAACCTCCTCCTTTTTGGAAGTCGGTAGAATTCTTACCTATTTATAAATTTCATCATCAGTTAAAATATACATAATAATATGTATGTATATATCGTATGATATAAGATTAATTTATCCATTCTGTAATAAATACGAACAATATCTTTGATATTTTCGAATATACACGTCCCACTGCTGGGCACGGGCCTTCCTTCAATACGAGGGGGATCAGACCATAGTCCACCACGCTGGACAAGTGCGTAAAACTTACTAGGTTCACTCAGACATACAGGTTTCCTCTAAATATTTTCCTTCACCGTAAGACAAGTGGTAATTGTCTTGGAAAAGATTCGCACATGAAAATATCATAGGTGAGAGACCCGGAATTTGAACCCACTTCACTCTGTTTCCTAAGCAAGCACGTTATCACTGGGATATCACTGCACTTACACATAATGCATATATATATTTTTTACTTTAATATATGTACAATAAGTACATTAGAAGTATCATAAAAATAAAGATAAATGTTTAAGTGGGAAATAAAATCAACCGGTATTCAATAGAAACAACTAATCTCTCTTTTATGATTATAATTACATATATACCCAATAAGGAAGTTATTAAAGTAGTTAATGCCCATGGCTGCACTCGTGTACTTTATTTGTACATATATTATAGTATTTATATGTTTTATTTACATATATTTCATTCCTCGTAACGTTGGTCTTCTCCTAACCGATTTCGACCACAGCGGTCAATTTCACTGAGACTAGCCAACCGCGCAGGAGATATCTATACTAATATTATAAAGAGGTAAAGTTTGTGAGTTTGTGACGTTGTAGGGGGTAATCTCGGGATCTACCGATTTAGATGAAATTTAGTAAGAAGATAATTTGAGACCCTGGGAAGGACATAGGATACTTTTTATCCCGGAAATCATTAATGGATGGGTGAAAATGGAGATGAAAATTTGTATGGGGAATCAAGCTAGGGACGAACCAGAGCGAGGTGAGGATGAGTCGCTAGTTATAGATATAGTGCACGAGTGTACACGCAAACACAAGTGCACTCTCTATTAATCTGACTGATAATTATAGATATTATTAGTGTATACAAACAAACAAAATATCTTCAAGCTTATAATCAGATCAAAAGCTAATAAAAAAAAAATTCTTATATTTTCAAAAAGAGTATCTTCTTACAAAAACTTAAAAACTACGTAAAATTATAACATATAGGCATATATGTTTGTATTGTAATATATTTTACTCACATATCACCAATAAATAACACTCGACTGGCATCTGTAACGCCCGCTCGTTTCATAGCGAATTCACCGAACGACCTCCCCGGCTTACCCAATAACGTTGGCTTTCTTTTGGCTTCTTCACTAACTATGTCGCTGAATATACCAGTTCCTGTTAATTTCACATAATTGTTTATTAACTTCTTGTTTCTTATGTCATCAGTCGTATGTATTCAGCCCTTTTTTTAACATCCCACCGCTGAGCACGGGCCTCCCTTCAGTACGATGGAATCAGGCCATAGTCCACCACGCTGGCCAAGTGCGGGTTGGCGGACTTCACATGTCTTTCGAAAACTTGTTAGGTTCTCTCAGACATGCAGGTTTCCTCACGATGTTTTCCTTCACCGTCATCATCAGTCGTATATATAATTACTATTACGACAAAAATTATACCAATAAACTTGTCTGTATATGTACGTTAATGATAAATATATGGCAGCGTGTACAAAACGCAAAAAAATCAAAACGTAAACAGCTTTGAACTCGAATTAACACAATTTTTAATGACATACTACCAATCAAACGAGCATAACCACAGGTAATATCTAGTATAACTTGAATAAGTATAACTTAATAATTAAAAAAATAGTATAAATAACTTGAAAAATTAATGAACTCTTTGAAATATTCAAACCTAGCAATATTCAAAATGGTTTTACCTAAAGCTAAGGATCCTTGTTTCAAAGGTACGTATCTGTCAGTGGCGCCGGTAATGAAGAGTACTTCCGGCCGCTTCAAATAAGTGAGCGCTTTGTATAACTTAGGCAAGTTCACCTTGAAGTCACTATCGAATATAACTGCACCTATCTCTTCATCGTCGGTTGAGAATTCAATATAATTCTCTTCATCATAAGTGTATACGTCAGGCTGAAAATAATATTTTTTTAATTAACATGTTATGTCGACTTCAAAATCATTTAAATTAATTATTATTAAAAAATATTTTCTCCACTAGTAAGGGATTTTTTTCTTGAAATTTATATGAGACCACGCTTCAAATGAATGTTGCAATAAACAAGAATCATGAACGAAGACATTGGGTATTAGGGCATCGGGTTATATCGGTGTGTTTGACAAGCTTTTAATTAACTTGCAATATTTGTTTGTTCGCGTCAAACCTTGCAAACTGCACTTTAAAGCCGTTATGCTCAAATTATTGAGCTGAAATTTTGCAGAAAATTTAAGTTTGAATTATTGTCAAGTAAATCCTTTCATTTGATAACAATATCATGGGGTTGCATAAAATAAACATAGTCCGCCATCTTGGATTTAGAATGACGTTTAGTCAGGTGATACCACACAGACGGGTGAAACTAAATAAAAATAAGTAATGATAAATGGCAATTTTGCGACGTCCGCCATATTGGATTTACAATTACGTCACTTTGCTTATTATGTATTTCATTTGATGCCCATATCATAAGGGTCACTATGGAAATGATAAAACGCCATTTTGTGATATCCGGCATATTCCCTTACTCCATCCAATGTAAAGGGTAAGGCTGAGCAATATTAAACGAATTTTAACTTATGTTAAGATTTTTATATGGTACTCTTTATTTTATTATTATTAGTAACGTACTTGTCTGTTCAGACCTTATTTGCATCTTGAGTTTTTCCACAACCTGTTATATAGCTATATCCTATTGGAAATACTGTAACAGAACAAAAACTACTCTAGTTAATTATCTTCCTTCAAAAAATTACGCTGTTTCGATGTTTGCTGCATGAATGTTTATTATTGCCTATGTATACGATGACTTTTTCACTTGCTGTACATTTATATCCACACAAAGCAAGCAATCTGCTTTTTTTTAATTTATTGGTGTTTTGGTATATTGACTTAGAAATATATGTGGCAAAAGAAACTCGAACTCAAATCATCCAACTCAGATTGCAGTCCTATCCAATATCCCTCAGTATCTATTACACACAGCAATCGTCTCCTACAAGCGTTTAATTTCACAAAAACATGTTTTTGTATAAAATCCTGAAATTTTCGTTATAAAATCCTGAAGCTCATAAATAATAATTAAAATTTCATTACTATACGGTACCTCTATAATATGTACTTCTAACTATAAGTACGGAAAACAACCCTCTTATCTGCTGATGTTTGTAAACAGGTATAAAACTCGTATGAATGCTATTAGAAATCGATGGTGTTTCGAGTGGATATTCCATATATACTCGTAAGACTATATATGATGTGATCGCCTACAGGCTTTTTAGTATTGTTTCTCCAACATTAAAATTGCCTGTGGGCATTTGTATCGGCGTGTTTGTTACTGTAATTTATAATTTTATTTACGAGAAAAAGATAAAATATAATAATTTTATCACTATTAAGTTTCTTTTAGCAGTTCTTTACAGGATTGAGGTCTTTCCGAACTGGTGGTAAACTCATTATGTTCAGTACAAATGAAATTTCATTTAAATAAAACTTGCATTTTATTTAATATATATTACATTACATATTATTTAATATTATTTTTATTATTTTCCACTTCCTGTGTAACGTATTCTATCTCATTCTCTCGCCGGCTTAATCCTATATGAGTGTTTGTCTCTTTATCGTAACGCATTTTCGTTTCATCAAGTTTCAAAACACAACGATTCTAAAGAAGTTCACTATAAAAATGTTAATGATAATTTAATGATGTATAAAAAAAATAGAATTAACAAAGGTAAGTAAGGAATAGTTTGAAGTGTGTTAGTTTGAGTTTCCCTTTCTTTTATCCGGTGTAATTTATACTACACAATTTCATACATTTACTAAAATTGTTGAGCAGATAAGTTGTAAGTGTAATATACGTCATATCTATGGAAGGAAGGAATGAATTTAAAACAGAAATTTAATATTTGTATATTTTGTTGTAGTACTTTTAACAAATAATTTATTCGTATAGAATAGAATATATTTAATATAAATGTTTATCTATACATATAATAAAATTGTAACTAAGCCGAATCTGTACATTAAATATTTTTTGGAAAATCTTATTGAAATAAACATTATTATCGATACAGAAGCCGAATCTATTGTTTTTAGAATTTTTGTCTGTCTGTCTGTCTGTTACCGCATCACAAATTTTTTTGTGATTTGAGTGGTTTTCCACTAGAGAGATTTTTCTGTGAATCGATGAAATTTGGTATGGTGATAGCTGGTTATCTGGGTCAACATATAGGATACTTTTACTATATAATATAAACTGCAATGCAAGAGTATACTAATATTAATATGTAAAACCTAAGAATTTGGTTTTTTGTCATCTGAACGCGGGCGGAGCCGCAGGCAATGCTAGTGTAATCTAAAGAGTTAAAACTGTATATATTTTATACAACATATATAAATGTTAATAATTTTTAATAATTTTTTACCAGAGAAAATGTTCTTTCTAATATCAAAGGTATTCACTTTTTACTTTAACTTTCTACTTTTTCTTCTCGCTACAGAAAAGTTACAATATTTTTGTGACTGATTAAACTCAAAAGGGAAAGACAAATGTTAAGATATAAATTCAAAATCCTTACTTATGCAACATACAAACATAATATATAAATATATATATATATATATTTATATATTATGTTTGTATGTTGCATGTTAGTTTTAATAATAACACTTTGAACTATCAAGACGAAAAGTGGAAAACTTGATTTTTAAAAAGCTGAGATGAATATGTATATTTTTTATTCTGATAAATAATTTATTTCTATGGGATTATAAGTAATACGTTGTGTATAAATACAGACTATTTATCGAACCAACAGAGTTATAAGCATTTTTCTGTCGATAGTTGCACTTGGGGTATGTTTTGTTTTTCTGGTTATTTTAAAATTGAACAATATTTACATAAGTATTGTTTATTTTTTTTATACTATCCAGTATTTTGAATTGTTGTTATTAAAGAAATTAAAAGACGTAGCTAGGGCCGACCTCGTTACCACACCCAATAAAATAAATAATAATACTTTTTAGACTTAGCTGTTTCATACAAAGTAGCATATTTTACAGTAATCACAATAAAGCTTAATACAGCCACATAAGTTGGCTGTGTTTTGAGTTATTTTTAAACAGCAAAATAAATAAAAACACAAAAAATCTATAGTTACAAAAATCATGATACAAAATAATCAAAATTATTTTGCCGTTTTCATATTGTTTTTGATTATTATTATTGGATTTTATAAGAATATGTTATAAAATAAATAATATTTTAATTCATAAAACAGCCAGGATGTGAGGTTGAAACAAACCCAACTACCACTAATAATATTTGACAGAAAACAGCCATCATAGATTGGCTGCTTCTCGCGTAACTTGAACACTTCTACCTCCTAACATTTTGAAATTTGTAAAAAATATTCATAAAGGTTGGCTGACTTCTGCAATTTAGTATTTTAGTTAGTGTAAAAATTGGATGCATTTTACACCAAGCTGCCTGTTTTTTACGAAATGTGTTTGTTGAAATGGCTGGATTCGGATGGCTTATTATCTTCGACATTAATAAAGATATCGGCATGGTTATTTTTGTATAAAATTCGCCATGTCTAAATTAGCATGACCGTTTTAATAAATATTTTTTGGAAAAAGTGTGTGATGGCTGTTTTATGCATAACTAGGTCCAATTGCATGCTACATTCAATGCATAGTAACAAGCGCCTCAATTTTTTATCGATAACATAATAATTTTAAAAGACTATCACTATCGGCGGCTTCGGCCGCGTTCAAACTTCCAATCGCTACCAAACTTCACATGATTACCTGCTAGGCTAATCTGGAGATTGCCTGAAAATTTCATCAAAGTCACTCCACCCGTTTTAGAGTCCATAGGGAACATACATACACACATCGATTTTTATATATTTAGATTATATATAGATAATAAAATTGTATTCAGTCCTTTTTAACGTCCCACTGCTGAGCACGGGTCTCCCTTCAGTACGAGGGGGATCAGGCTACGCTGGCCAAGTGCGGGTTGGCGGACTGCACATGTCTTTCGAAAACTTGATAGGTTCTCTCAAACATGCAAGTTTCCTCACGAAATTTTACTTCACCGGAAGACAAGTGGTAATCATGTCGGAAATGATTCGCACATAAAAATATCAGAGGTGCGAGACCTAGGATTTGAACCTGCGTCACTCGGGTTTTCAACCGAACGCATTACCGCTAGGCTGCTACTTTAAAAAAATATATACTCGTGCGAAATTTGAACCCATGACCTATATACTGGGTAAAGTCACAAAAATAAATAATTTTATATTTATCTTACCCCTTCTCGGCATTTAATTCCATTTGCCTTCAAAACAGAAAAGGTTTCAGGACAAGTCACACAGTATGCGGTTTTGTTGAAATTCAACGATTTTAAGTAAGAGGCTATTGCAGTTGAAGGTATTGTGAGGTTTTCCTGTGGAAAAAAATTAAAATCTTTAGTAATATATAATTTATATATAATTATAAGACTAAACTAATATATAATTATAAGATAATATACTCTACACAAAAAGTTTACATAATAAATCAGAAGAGACGATATGGGAGTCTTTGACTGCTTGTTGGTCTAATATCTCGTACGGAAGCAGATCCTGAGTGTGAGGTCCTGAGTTCGAGTCACGGGTTAGGTAAAGTATAATTGCTTAGTTTTGCTTAATAAATATTCAGTAAAAGCCTGGAGTGGGGATTTTGGTGGTTTTACCCTCTCTAATGAGAGATCGCCAACCAGTCTCATTAAGATTGGGCCGCGTAGACGACGTGAGTCAGAAGAGGATTAAGGAAATCTCTACTAACATAATCTGCGTCTAAATAAAATATCAGTAACTCTACTGTTAACTAAATATTAAGTCATAATTATCTATTTCATGTTTAAAAGAAAAAGTAAAATCACTAAATATTATAATATAAAGTCCCTTGCCGCGTCTGTCTGTTTGTCTGAATGCGATAAACTCAAAAACTACCAAACGGGTTTTCATACGGTTTTTACCTATAGATGGTTACTCCATGAGGAAGGTTTAAGTGTATATACATTAGGGTTTCGTGAAAAATTAGCTGAAATATGACGATAATTGTTGAAGATACTGGAAAAGATCATGCTGACTGGGAGCTTAATTGGCGTGCGCCGCGTAAATTAATAAAGTTATATGAAAACAATGTATTATAGAATTATTATTTTCAAAAAGATCTTCTTATTAAACTGCAGCAATACTATGTGCACGTGCCTAAGGACGCACCCGAGCAAAGAGAGGTTAAGTCAATAGTCTATACAGATAAATAAAATTTAAGTGTCCGTTTGTAATGTTAAAATAGCAGAGTTTTACTTAAACATATGAAATTATATACGGTACTTATAAGAAAAACCTCTTTTTTTTTCATTTTTGTCTATCTGTCTGTTTGTTTCGGATAATCTCTGAAACGGCTGGTCTGATTTTGCGGGACTTTCACTGGCAGATAGGTGATGTTATAAGGAGTAACATAGGCTACTTTTATTTTAGAAAAAGAATTAGGGTTCCGCTCTTAATAATTAAAACTTATCTATATAAGCATAAATAACAAGCATTAATTGAATATACTTTAAAAAAAATATTAATATGTACATACAACAAACAAATTATGTGTATGTACATTGTACATATGTATAAAGTAAGAAACATATTTATTGGTATCGAATTAGATTGATTGCGATTTACTTTCTATATTCTAAAGCACTACACTATATGAATGTGGAAGCAACCCTTATGGTAATTGTTCATATTAAAGTCTAACTTCGAATAGGTATCTGGATGAGTGTAGTAGAGATTATCTCCTATATAAAGAAGGTAGTATATTTATAAAAATATAATTTTACGTGTTTTATTTTTTTATTGCATAACTAAATGTGTGTGTTTTTGTATTTTCTTTGTTTTCTTGTTCGAACGCGCTCTGGATTTACTGGTCGGACCAGTTAAAAAAAATATTGTCTTTCGAAGCGTATTTATTATATGGCAATAACCTTCCTTAGCTCTTCGTGTGGTGTAAAATGTAAGATATTATCACATTAAGAAAGCTAAATAATTTTACAAAAATTAAACACGCGGGTGCTGAGTTAACGCTAGTCTATACATATAATAAAAGTGTAACTGATCGTTGTCTGTACATTGTAGATATTTGAGAAAAACTTTATTGAGGGTTTTTATTAATGCGATAGAACCCAAAACAATGATTTTTAGAATTATTCTTATTGTCTGTGAGTTTATACGCGCTGATCTCAGAAACGGCTTAACCGATTTGGTTGCGGTTTTCATTAATGTATTTTGGTAAGTTTCACTTTATATTTAGTACTTGTTACATTTCAATCGGTTCATAAATAAAAAAAGTTATGACAATTTAAACAATCACCTAGTATATATAAGGCTATTTCGATACACACGCAAAGCCTTGAGCAAAAGTTAGTCTACAATAATTGAAATAGAAGATAATATATACTTAGATATATAATACAATAATCATGGTAATTAAGCACGCCTAGCTTATACTAGGATGAACTAAGTGGAAGCTTAATAACTTCCGTGTTTAAATTACTTAGATAATTACCTTAAAGTTCGAGCTTGCCAGTGTTTCTTGTATTGTGTGAGTTGCATTTGTTACTAGAGTAAATTATTTATGGTGTCTATTAGGTTATACACTTAAGTCTCTACGTTAGTATTGTACGCAGAATGATGACTACATAATCGATTTAAAATTGCTTTTACTAAGGTGTCCTTTAAAATAATTTTCAATATAGTTATTTGTCACTAGGGGTGAAATTTTTGTTTGAAATTATCATGAAATTTTCAGAAAGCTATAAGCTGTGTATTTTTTATCCCTTTAATATTTTTTTAAGTGTCGAGAATCACCGGCTGAAAAAGTCAATAGTATCCACTAAAATATAACGCAACCTCCCACGTCTTAATGGGGTCGCAGGATCTCTTACGCACTCAACCATGACTTTCATGGTCCACTCTAGTGTAATATAAGTACCAGGAGCAAACTAATAAAAAGTTTCTCCATTTTGTAGTCGAACATGTGGAAGCGAAATGACTCATAATATGTTACAAACTACTCAAAGCAACTTTTAATTTTAATTAATACCACAAATATTTACGTCCGTATACTTATATGAGTTATTTGAGGTTAGATGTTATATATAAGACTACCGAAAGACTAGCCTAGACTAGTGAAAATTTAGGTTTGTATGTATTTTTTAATGCCGAATCATAAAAAAATTAAAATAAAAAATTAACTAAAAAATAAAAAATTTTTTTTTGGAGTGGCAACCCTTTTATCACTATCTTAGTGGTATGAAAAATAGTTTACATTCTATTCTCAGATCTACTGAATATACACACTTTCAAGCCGTTTTGGAGTAGTTTTGTTACAAACACTGTGACACGAGAACTTTATATTAGATTAGATTTTAGAGTATAGAATAAAAATGTTCTATGTAACACACTAAAACTCAGTCCTTGTTCCTGGCAGTTGTCCACAAGACAAGAGACCACTCAGAAATCGAAGATAATGGATTGTATATTCGTATTTACGTTATCGTTTGGCTCAGTTTGTAGTGACCCTACTTGATGCGCCAGCGGCTGCGGGTTCGAATCCCGCTGGGGGCATTCATTTGTGTGATGAGCACGAATTCTTGTATTTCAGTCATGGGTGTTTATATTTATAATATCTATGTATTTAAAGTTATATGTGTGTAGTGTATTAATCTGGTATCCATAACACAGGCCTCGTAGCTTACCATGGACTAGATGGTACTGTGTGTTGATGTCCCAACAAATTTATTTATTTATGTTATACTATGTATTTAAAAGAAATGCTAAAAAAACATTACAATAAGGAATTTTGGGGATCCGTAGATATATTTAGGGAACCCTGATATTTTCAATTTACATTGAACCGCACCGTCAAATCAAAAAACATTAAAAAATAGGTGTAAAGAAATGATACCATGTTTTCGCTTTATCCTGTTCGACGCGAAATGAACTTTGTTTTTTATAGAAATACTATAAAACAAAAGAATTTATTTATGCATTCAAGAAAATTAATATGTAGATATTCGATCTTTTATTCACTTTAATTAAAAATTCAATTATCTAATTTCTTCTCAGTTTTATAGGTCTCTTTGAGATATCAATGTTCCTATTGATATTATACGCCACAATTTGAACACACACCCTGTATCGATGTATATTTGTCACTCTTTCACTCAAAAACTACTTAGCTGATTTTCATGAAACTTTACAGTAATATAACATCAGTGTAACACATAGCCTATGATATAAAGAGATAGTACTACGCGGATAGAGCCGCAGGAAAACTCTAGTACACAAATAAACACAGACACAGTCACGCGCAAAGGCTAATACAAAATATAATCTAAAAAGTCTTCACGATATCATCAATATTGGATATTTGGATTCCTATAATATATTATTATATGTATTTACTGTAACAAAGGATTCACATGAAATTGGCAATCAGCAATCGTAAAGGCTACAAATAATACTTCTCGTACGATGATGTACTTTCTTTTGATACAAAGGCTTCTAGATTTGACTGATCAATCAAAGCTCTAAGCCTTGTTCGGGACTCTATTATGTATTGGACATTATTGGAGATTGTATAATATATTTACTTCATAGAAAGCAATATAGAGTAGGTAGTGATGTGCTTATATATTACGTTTTATTATTATCCGTACTTAATATTATAAATGTGAAAGTGTGTTTGTTTGTTTGTTTGTTTGTTTGTTTGTTTGTATGTATGTTTGTCCTTCTTTCACGTCAAAACGGAGTGACGGATTGACGTGATTTTTTGTGTGGAGGTAAAGCACGTTATAATACAATCAAAATAAAAATATCAGAACTACTTGAAACTTGGTATTAATCCTCTTCAATAAAATTAAATAAATACATGTTTTAGCTTTTTTCTAAATTCATCCTATAAGGGGGTAAAATAGGGGATGAAAGGTTGTATGAAAGTATAATAAAAAATCTCTAAAGTATCTTTTTAAAGATTTTTTGTAGTTTTAGCGCGAGCGAAGCCGCGGGTTCTGCTAGAATATATTATTATTTTTTCCTTTGTAGATAATTCTCTTGATGTAAGGAAGATTAAACCATGATAGTCCACCATGCTGGCCAAGTGCGGGTTGGCTTAGACATGTAGGTTATATGAAATTAGAAATTTATTTATTTAGAAATTTCATTCAATGTTTTTATTCACCATAAGGCGAGAGTAGAAAATGATTCGCATATGAAACTAACAGAGGCTAGCCTCAGGATTTCAAGCTAACTCACTTGATTTCACAAGCGAGCGCGCTATCACTGGGCTAGATAGAGTACCTACTGCTTTATAAGTAAAAAGAAACCTATGTGTAGATTGTGTATCGTATAAATATGATAGAGCACTTCTGAATCGATAGAAAACCTAAATAGCTTTTGAAATAATTATGTTTATTTATTATTTATTCATAATATTATGTGAGATTTAAAACATTTATTTTCAATATCCTATAAATTTATACTAATATTATAAAGAGGCAGAGTTTGTCTGTTTGTTTGAATGCGCTAATCTCAAGAACTACTAACCCGATTTGAAAAATTCATTTTGCATTACATAACCCGCATATTAAGGAAGACTTATAGGCTGTATATAATTATACTACTTCCCAAGGGAGGGAGGGAGCACTAATATAATATATAGTCTATCTATTCCATACTAACCGTTAAAACGTACGTAGGGATGAACCCGAGCGAAGCGAGGGTGAGTCGCTAGTAAATAATAAGTAGAGAATAATCTCACTTATACGAGACATATCTTATATGAATGTAATTTAAAATGTACATATTTTTTATGTACGTATATAATATAATTAAAAATCTTATATTATAATAAAAAATACTTACATAACCCTTGTTTATGCCAGCAGCTTTAAATAAAGCCTCATAATTATCTCTTGATCGTAAACTGTTGTTCGACACGAAGTGAAGAGATTTTCCGAGGCGTGTCATTATTTCAAAAAACTTTCCCACGTCCGGTAATGGTGTTTTACTCCATATAACTCCTAGAACCAAAACGATGAAACATTAATATGTAAAATAAGGAATTATGTAACTATTAAAATGTTTATTTTATAATTTATCTATACGTTTATTAAAATTCTGGGTCGAATCTGTATATTAAATATTTTTAGAAAAATCTTATTGAAATACTCATTATTATCGATACAAAGGCCGAATCTATAGTTTTAGAATTTTTGTCTATTTGGTATGATGATAGCTGGTGGAAAATATCTCATATCTAAAAAATCTATACTAAACGTTAAAGCTAGGGACGAACCCGCGCGGAGCGACAGTAATTCGCTAGTAAGCTATATATAATGAAAACCTATTCATAACTACGGCTAAAGAGTGGCATCAACGTTTCCTTTAAGTAACAATTTTTTTTTAATGAGACAATCATGAGTCAAATATATTCTTATTTATCTTTAATAAGTATTTTAGAACCTATTATGAAAAAAAATATCACATAATTTAAACTCATCTTAAAGTAAAATCATTGTGTCTATGAGAAAGAAAGAAAATTTAGTTAATTTTCAATAGGTTTTATTGTTTGTATACAATATACTTACTGCAATATGACAAGTGTGCTTGTAAAAATCTATTTGAATAAAGCATATTTTGAATATATTAGTATATCTTTACAGTAAATGTTGTATAGATTTATTAATATGTATTAAAAGATATTTTCTTAAAAAAACTGCACATTTAGTACATAATAATAATCTTCTTATATTGATCTCAAGGGGTTTTTTCTCGTCTATGTGAATGGAAATTCCGAAATTAGTTGTCTTGTTTCCTTATTGGACCTCTGGTGCTATGAAGCAGTTATGTTTTTATCGATAAAGGAAGTGAACACGTTTAAGCTACGAAATATTCTAATCTTTTATATAAAACTAGATTTTGCATGCAAAAAAGTAGTCTATATCTATACCTATATTACTACTATAAAGAGAAAAATATTTTTTTTGTATGTTTGCTTGTAATGGATAAACTAAAAATCCGCTGAACTGACTTAGATGGATATAAACATAGTTTGAGACCCTGGAAAGGATATAAGATACTTTTTATCCCAGAAATCGTCCCTCAAGGGTATAAAAAGGGGGATGAAAGTTTATATGAGGAATCAATCATTTCTCAAGGCAATGTAAAACTCTTCATACCTATGTATATACATAAATATAATATATAATCTTTCTTTTCCATACTTACCGTTAAAACGTACCTCTCTAAACGCATCCGTCGCTACTAATAATTACTCCTATTATATTTTATTCTTCATACATTCCAAAATACCAAGCTCATAATATGGCTGTAAAAAGATCCCATAAGCCAGCATGTTTTTATTTAAAAAGGCGTTTTTTAATTTGGCAGGACAGTGCGTTTACGTTTAGATTATTATATGCCTCTGTTTATAGAGGGTATGATAACATTTAACCGTATAGAATAAAATAACACGTTTTTAACAATATATTCTAGCAAGATACATGGTACGCGTTGTACTTAAATATTCAATATAGTTTTAGTTCTCCGGATGGAAGAAATACAAAGATTCGATTAAAAGAAATCTCGAAGAGAATAATATGTTAGATTTATTTGACCTTCATATGACCTACATATTCTCGCATTACGAATTCATGAAAAGTGACCAACTTCGAAATAGAGGTGATATGAATGTATGTTTTATAAGGTTTCGTACCCGAAGGGTGCTAACGGATCCCTATTACTAAGCCTCCTCTCTCCGTCTGTCCGTCCGTCTATCAGAGGGATGTACCTATCTCGTGAACAATACTAGGTAGAGAGTTGAAATTTTGACAAAGTATGTATTTTTATTGCCGCTATAACAACAAATAATAAAAATAAAAAATTGAAAATTCAAGAAACATTTTTTTAACATTTGTAATCTATCATCGAAGTTAATATAGAGTAAAGTCACATTAATAATAGTAGGTACATGTACGATTCGCTTGATTTTTGTGTAACTTTACATGGTTCTTCATTAACGAATAGGTTCTTTTGGTTAACGATAATTATCATAAAACACAGAAATATGATAATTAATTTAGTTTTTCTAAATATCACGAGAAACCAAAGTTAAATTTAATAAAATAAAAATACAATAAGAGGTTAAGGAAAACTTATTGATATATACACAATTTTGCACTAGCGCATTGTCATGCTATCGTGACTAAGACCAAAGATGGCATTTTTGATATATTTCCTACTAACACTTAATTTAAAAACTGCTTATTCATTCTGAATCAGCTGTAAGTGATTAATATAAATTAATAGTTCTGCGAAGAGTAGACCTCGCGAGGACATACTGCATTTTGAGGAGCTATTCTTATCACACCGGAGATAATCATCAGATTTTCACCATTTTTTTATGAGAACAATTTAAAGTGACCTTTCAATAAAAACGGCCAAGTGCGAGTCGGACTTGTGCACGAAGGGTTCCGTACCATTATGTAATTATTATTATATTCTTTTAATTATTTATTTTTAAAGTGAATATATAACTAAATATTCTGTGAATATTTCAAGTATCTACCTGTTGCCGTTATCGAGCAAAGTCAAGCAAAAACTGCATCTTAAATAGTTTGGTTGCTAACAACTACACTTGCGGACCCAACGACTACACAAGGGCTGAGTAGTCGTTATGCGAACCCTAAGGTCCTGGGTTCGAGTTCTACTAAGAGAGCACGTAACACCGTCAGTATTGCGCCTGTTCTCTTATCGTGACATGTTTCAACTATATTTTTTTCCGAAAACGTTAGAGTCGTCATTGCAAATAGTGGATCTAAAATTACTGGTTAAAAACAATTATTATTATTATTATGTTATTTATATTCCCTATAGGAAAACCAAAGTACCTAAGAAAACGGATATTTTGTATTTATAAGTTAAATAATAGCAATCGTTATGTTAATAATAGTTGCTATAAATTATAAATAATTGAATTCAAAAATTATGTTTACTTTATTTTCTCTGTGGTGTCTATTCAGAATTTCCAAACAGTTTCGTCATATGACATTTTTACTGAAAGGGAAATTCGTAGAGGGTGTAAGCCATAGTCCGCCATGCTGGCTAAGTGTGGGTTGGCGGATTTCATACATCTTTTGACAACTAGTTAATATTATTATCAACTTTCATTATTCTTTAGATACCCCTCAATGGTTTAATTTAAGAAAATAGTTACTTAGCGATGTTAAAGCTATTGCTGCTTTTCCGCACGTAAAAGACAATATCTATCCCACCAAAAACATTTTCATGTAAAATGTTGCCAAGACAAGACCATATGGCTCGCACGGTCAAGAAGTTATCAGATCTCATGTAGAGCCGAGCTTCGAGCTCTACACACCTTAACTCTAAAAGCCCTAACTTCACAAACTCTACACCCTAGTCAAAATATGTGGCTTGGTTGTATCTTTACTATAACAATGCCAGACAGACCAAAATTCTAAAAACTATCGATTCGGCCTTTGGATCGATAATAATGACTATTTCAATAAAATTTTCCAAAAAATATTTGATGTATTATTTCGACTCAGTTAAAATTTTATTATATGTAAAAAAAAATATTACTAATATAGACAATTACCGTTGGCATAGCAATAAATGTATTTATGTATATATGTATAGTTTTTACAACTAAACACAATTGATTGTATTACGCTACCATAATTAATATCTTTTTGATTACGAATAATAAAATACTCGGATTAATATCCATATTCTTCCAACTTCTTATTTAAAATTCATTTTTCCTACTTCATTCTCCAATAAAATATACATCACTAATACCATTTTACTATTTTATCTATGGATTAAATCACGATAATCTAACATTAACTTCATGAAATCTTTCTTATTATATAACGAACACTGTTATCACAGACGTTCCACTCGTATAAAATATAAACAATACACATATAAAACGCTCCTTCATACAAAATTATTTCCAAGTAAATGAAACTATCTTTTCGGATTTTGTCTCGGTTTTATTACATTAACATTGCCAACCATTCCGTTAAGACCGAAAACATAAAATTATATTATAAAACATAATATAATTAAATTTCAAATACTCAACACAAGAATCAGGCGTGTATTTACATAACGTAGGTTATGTTATCGCAACGTGTAACGAACCCAGCTATGACGTAACTTACCGTCGCAGTCTGAGAACACATGATCGAAAGAATCTATAAATTCCTTTATGTTAAAACTATCTTCCATTAAATTAACTGGCTCCATATTAACACTTCACTCAATAAAATTACACGTGCGTTCATAAACTAGTTTGCGTGAATACTGCGCTCGAGTCGCGAACATGAATAAATATGTATGATGGCCATGGCAAGGTTGCCCCCATTTGTGTGACGCAAGCTTTGATAATGCGGGGATTGCTGTAGTGTACGGTTTTTTCTATGAATGTGTATGGATATCCTGATCTTTAAAGGTTTATGGTAATCGCTATGGTTTTATTGATAACCATGGTGTGGATATTTTGTTACGTTTTATGGGAAAAAATGTGAAATTAATAGATTTTATTTAAATTTAAAAACGAATAAATTACACATTTAACTTTTATTTTTTACGCTAATATCTATTTAAATTGTAAAATCTATACAATTTAATTTTTTTTAACTAAATAAGAGTTTAAATGCATGAAAAATAAAAAGATTAAATGTTTAAAAATAGACAATATTTTAATTTTACAAGCTTTTTGGCTTCGATTTCATATTACATTATATTTAACATTTTTTGTAAAACTATGAAGTATTTTACAGTAAGTGTCATCGATTTGACGAATTTACTTATTTCTTAACTAGCATTGCCCGCGGCTCCACCCGCATTCAGACGACCAAAAACCAAATTCTTAGGTTTTACATATTAGTATACTCTTAGATTGCAGTTTTGAATTTTTAAAAATGAGATATTTTCCCGCGGTAAAAAATATTCTATATGTTGATCTGGATAACCAGTTCCAGTAGTTTTTCCGTGATGCGGTAACAGACAGACAGACAGACAGACAGACAAAAATTCTAAAAACTATAGAATCGGCCTCTGTATCGATAATAATGTTTCTTTCAATAAGATTTTCCAAAAAATATTTAATGTACAGATTCGGCTTAGTTACAATTTTATTATATATATAAATATTAAATAATTTATTTACAATAAAGAAAAGCATTCTTGACACTATTCCACGCGGACATGACTTGTACAGTAATAACTAAGTATACATTTATTGTGTATATATAGTTAAGCATATTTGTTATTTTCTTTATTGCTAAGAGATTATAAGATATTGATAATATGTAAAAACTAAAAAGTTAGACATTTTTAGAAGTTGTAGTGTTTCTTTCGAAGCCTTTGAAAGAGAGATTGACTTGAATACAAAATTCATTTAGAGACATTATATCATTACCCTATTATATATATATATATATATATATATATATATATGTGTGTGTGTGTATATAGTATTGTACCTATATTACCCCAGGCCACAAGTTTATGGTTACTCTTATTTTTTTACATCATTTTTCATTATAATTAACAGTAGGATATATAGTGATTTAAAATTGGTTAACAACCATTCTCGCTAATTTTCTCGCTACTTAAAAAGCTGTAAATAAATAAATATATTATTAAAATAAAAAAACCCGAATGCATAAAAGCTAACTAAAAAGATGAAAACAAATTCACGAAGGAATATAGTATTATGCAGCCGGGGACATACATACGAGTGTACACCTACTTTAATCCTGAAAAAAATTACGATTCCCGTGGGATAGGTTTTCCTTTGCTTTCCTAGAGGTGAACCCAAGCGAAGCGAGGGTGAGCCGCTAGTAATTTAATAATAAAATGTAATATTATATTCAGTAACACTTTTTTTACACAATATAACTCTAAATTAATATATTAAATTAGCAACATTATATAATATCAAAAGACAAAGTGATATATCTACATAAAAAAGTAAGATAATAGAATATTTATTATATATTTTGCATAAAAACAACGAGAAAATTGATTAATCACGAAATACGCGACATCCCTGCAAGTATATACAATTTATTGTAGAATAAAATATTTAACGGTACCCACAGGAGTTCTCATAAGGTACCGCACAAATATTCTTGGTTAAAGCGTAACGCATATTGAGGATCGTTTTTGGACCAATATATAATTAATCATCCATCTCAAAGGGTGATAACCGCACTAGCTATAAAAAGTATTTTAAAAAGTAAATAAAACCTTTGTGGCATTAATAATATGTCGCTAAGTATTTTTATTTTCTGCGAATTTGAGGCTGATAAGGAAGAAAAAAAATATATATAATGCATCATATTACTAAGAATTGCAACGTTTTAAAAAAATGTTTGTGTATCTAGAAATCTTATTTTATCTTTACGAACATCGCTTCGGAGTTGGCAATAACAAAGATATTTACTAAACTTATGTTAAAATCAGTTATAAATCCGTGCGAGTCATTTTGAAACCACTCATTTTTAACCAAGACAAAGGAGAATCCGCATTAGACGTAAAGCATCTACAAGTGCCCAAACAACATTTTTTCACTCACGACTTGCGACGGTGACAGACATGCGAGTTAGGTTTAAAAAGTGAAATATCTTATTTTCTTAGATTGTCTGTTGTTATGAATTTTATAATTACAAATAACATATAAGTTTTTTCATTTTATATATCACATGATGCACTTGATTTACTTAAAGATTTTCTTATTAATAAAATTAACCACAAAATTAAAATTACTCTATAATAATACCAAGTTTTAGTATACTTCTTTTGTTAAATTTGTATATTTTAAGAAAAAGAAAAAATAGCATGTTACAGATTAATACTGTTTGTATGTCGACATACGCACGATCCTATAAGAATTTCTTTTATTAAGAAAAATTGAAACATTTAAAAATTAGAATTGCTTGGCATTTATAATATCGGTAGGAATAGGCAGTTCATAAAATATCATATTAACTTGAAATAACGTAAAATTTTCCTTTAACTTGCAAACAATTCGTAGCTTCAAACTCTCTTATGTACGCCAACTCTAAGAATCCTAAGGCGTTTTTATCTAGAGTAAAAATGTACTTACGTAGCCATTAATTTGATACTCCACTCGTTGCTACGATCGTACTTGGCGGTACTTGCATGAGTAAATATCGTGCGAGCTGTTCAAACAGAGTTTTATGTTATTTTAAATGAAGAAAGCAATACTTTCCCGTAATAAACCTTTGTTTAATTATTATTTTTATAGTGTAATTAAAAAGTGCTTTCCATTTCGTTATATTTTAGGGTTCCCAAAAAAATAGGTTAATTAATATGGAACCCTTATAATTTTATCGTGGCCGTATGTTACAGATATTTTACTAGAATATAATTTTATATAAATAAAAATCTTATGTGAATCTCTATACAATGTTATAAATTACAAAAATAAGGATAATACACTCCATAAGTCACTCACACTTTACATTTGAGAGGTAAAAAAATAAGAGTAACCATAAACTTGTGGCCTGGGGTAATATAGGTACAATACTATATACACACACACACATATATATATATATAATAGGGTAATGATATAATGTCTCTAAATGAATTTTGTATTCAAGTCAATCTCTCTTTCAAAGGCTTCGAAAGAAACACTACAACTTCTAAAAATGTCTAACTTTTTAGTTTTTACATATTATCAATATCTTATAATCTCTTAGCAATAAAGAAAATAACAAATATGCTTAACTATATATACACAATAAATGTATACTTAGTTATTACTGTACAAGTCATGTCCGCGTGGAATAGTGTCAAGAATGCTTTTCTTTATTGTAAATAAATTATTTAATATTTATATATATAATAAAATTGTAACTAAGCCGAATCTGTACATTAAATATTTTTTGGAAAATCTTATTGAAAGAAACATTATTATCGATACAGAGGCCGATTCTATAGTTTTTAGAATTTTTGTCTGTCTGTCTGTCTGTTACCGCATCACGGAAAAACTACTGGAACTGGTTATCCGGATCAACATATAGAATATTTTCCCGCGGTAAAAAATATTCTATATGTTGATCCGGATAACCAGTTCCAGTAGTTTTTCCGTGATGCGGTAACAGACAGACAGACAAAAATTCTAAAAACTATAGAATCGGCCTCTGTATTGATAATAATGTTTCTTTCAATAAGATTTTCCAAAAAATATTTAATGTACAGATTCGGCTTAGTTACAATTTTATTATATATATAAATATTAAATAATTTATTTACAATAAAGAAAAGCATTCTTGACACTATTCCACGCGGACATGACTTGTACAGTAATAACTAAGTATACATTTATTGTGTATATATAGTTAAGCATATTTGTTATTTTCTTTATTGCTAAGAGATTATAAGATATTGATAATATGTAAAAACTAAAAAGTTAGACATTTTTAGAAGTTGTAGTGTTTCTTTCGAAGCCTTTGAAAGAGAGATTGACTTGAATACAAAATTCATTTAGAGACATTATATCATTACCCTATTATATATATATATATATATATATATATATATATATGTGTGTGTGTGTGTATATAGTATTGTACCTATATTACCCCAGGCCACAAGTTTATGGTTACTCTTATTTTTTTACCTCTCAAATGTAAAGTGTGAGTGACTTATGGAGTGTATTATCCTTATTTTTGTAATTTATAACATTGTATAGAGATTCACATAAGATTTTTATTTATATAAAATTATATTCTAGTAAAATATCTGTAACATACGGCCACGATAAAATTATAAGGGTTCCATATTAATTAACCTATTTTTTTGGGAACCCTAAAATATAACGAAATGGAAAGCACTTTTTAATTACACTATAAAAATAATAATTAAACAAAGGTTTATTACGGGAAAGTATTGCTTTCTTCATTTAAAATAACATAAAACTCTGTTTGAACAGCTCGCACGATATTTACTCATGCAAGTACCGCCAAGTACGATCGTAGCAACGAGTGGAGTATCAAATTAATGGCTACGTAAGTACATTTTTACTCTAGATAAAAACGCCTTAGGATTCTTAGAGTTGGCGTACATAAGAGAGTTTGAAGCTACGAATTGTTTGCAAGTTAAAGGAAAATTTTACGTTATTTCAAGTTAATATGATATTTTATGAACTGCCTATTCCTACCGATATTATAAATGCCAAGCAATTCTAATTTTTAAATGTTTCAATTTTT